CCATCTCCACCATCTCCACCATCTCCACCTCCAGCTTCACCTCTCTCCCTCTGACCCCCTTCCCCTCTTCAGAACTGTTCTCAACTTGCCAGGGCTCAAACCAGGCTTGCGCTGTAGGTTTGTCTGGGAGTCCAGCATTCTCAGCTTCCCAAGCAGCAGCGTGAAACAGTATGTCAACTAAGTCAATAATTAGACCAGCCACTTCTCCTAAATACTGCGCGCAGATGCTGTCGCACACCTCTCCTAACTTCCCAACAGAATGGTTCTGCTAGTACTCCATGCCATGGACTCACGAATCTCCCCAATCATGCCCAAAACTGCCATTGTGCTCAACCTGAATCTGAACAGTGGTGCGCCACTTGAATTTCCCATTTTCAATGGAGAACCTCGTTGTGAGTCTGAGGCCCGAACTCAGTTGAATCAGATGAACAGAAGTCTCGGCGAGGCAGCGCTTGCAGGGACCATTTGTAAGAACCCGTAATGTTGGGAGGAGCACAAGGCGGGACATAATCCTGAAAGATCTGCATTTTCTTGGCATATCTCCGCGTTTTCTCAGAGTGATTCAGCAATCTACTGATATTTCTCGAGTTTACGGGATTTGCGGCCTCGCTGGCCGAGACCTACTCCTGAGGAGGGTGTTGAAAGCCCATGGTGCCTAATCGATGAGAACCTTGCGTAGCGCTCCCGGCTTGCGGGTTTGGGATCATTGAAGGTGCGTGCGCTCAGCTCAGACAACGCGCCCTCGTCTTAGCTTGCGGGTGGTCTTTTCATACTGGAGCTTTGCTAGCTTGGCATTGATCGTTTGGCATCTTCATGACTGGGGACAAGTGCACACAAAAACTGCAACTGGTGACGGCTTCAACAGCCTTCGGTTCCATGCAAGTGCGAGGTTGGCATCCCACGTGCCACAGAGGGACGATGACTCGCCAGAGCACTCGAGAACGTGACGCAAAGAGAAGAAGCTGGGCTTTGTCTTTCGGCTTGTGATTTAGCTTTTGTTCAGAGAACCGCTGATCGCTGCCTGTTGGCTCATTGGCTCAGGCCTGCCCGAAAATTCGGGTGGGGGTCAGGGGCTTCCATCCCAGGCCAAATCCAGCCCTGACATCCCTGACCCAGCCCCCAACGACAACTGGTTAGCTTTCAATCTGTCAATCTTTGTGCTAAGCAGTGTAGGGAGCGATCGTGGGCCGCTATGGCCACCGCTTCATGGCGGAGGCTTGGAGCATCCAGCAAACTTTTTGCTTGGCTTGCGACCAAGAGACAGCATCTGCCAGCTTTTGCCTTTTTTTGATAGTTGAAGTGATAAATGCAGGCTGAACCCATCAAATGCTACAATATGCAATGATGCATTCAATAGTTCCGGCACACGGTCAGTCATATAATCATGTGACATAGTGCATGTCCGATGTCACACTTCAGCTTGCAAGAGTTTGTGTTGTCCTTTGACTCTCTTGGAATAGAAAAGAGGCATATGTGAAACATAAGAATGGACTGCCTGTCTTGCAACCTTGCAGCAGGGTATGACAGCATTATTTGATTTTGGATTGAAATCTCACTATGCCCTTTTGCGTGTTGGTGCCTTCGTGGTTTCTTGATTTATGTTGACTGCTTGGCTCTGAACTGCTGTATACAGGTTTTTCTACTTACATTTCATCTGGCCACCTTCGCAATTGCATAGTAATGATAGGGTTGAACTTGAGGCATCCAGCCTGCAAGCACCCTCGTCATGCTTTGTCAGTTGGCAGGTCAGTCTGGTGCAACGTAGTCCTTGCTTGGCGCTCGAGAGTGGAAGGAAGGCTCATACTGGTGCGTGGGTTTGGTCACATACCTTAGAATTGGCACGTAGCTCGCCTGCTGTATGGTGGCTGCTGGTGGCAGAAGGTTCAGCGTGCATGTGCTCATGTGTCTGGCGAACAGTTCTTGTGACACTGCCGTTATCGGCTCCGCCATCCGCAGGGGCTTAGGCGGTGCTCGAGGATTAGAGGGCCAGGTGAGGCTATGTTCATCCATGAATGAGGGAGGGTGGAAAGTGAGATGACAAAAGAGGAGCACTCTTCATTCGTAAAGCTAGGATTCTGGACCTTGCAAGAAGCATGCTTGGCTTGTTGATGGCTTCTTGGACCTGAACTCGTGCAAAGGTCCTTGCGCTCCTGTGTGCAGAGGACGCCAGTGCTGGCCTTAATTTGGCCATAGAGGGGGCGCAGGCAATCCTCATGGCACATCTCAGAAGGGCTGCCCAGAGTGCTGTGAAGGTGCAGAGCAGGCGACACCACTGTCGGAAAAGTCGACAGCCCTGAAGAAGGCTCGCTGTGCGTATCAGCAATGTCGCTGTTTCTTGCACTGCAGGTATACTGCAGTGTGGACTCTTTCGGCCTGTTGGGGACGTATTGAGTGCCCAAGGGTCCACACCCTCCTTTCCCCTGGCGTAGACTACAACAAGGGATATTGTAGTCGTTTGTTTACGACATTGCGGGTCTGCAGGAGAGTGCGGCGGTAGACATTGAAATGGCAGATGGCTTGCCAAAGAAGCGCGAACTTCAGGGGTGGCAGCGTTGCTGATCTAGCTGTCCGGATGTGCAGCCTTGTGGCCGAAGGTAACACAGCTTCTAACAGAGCTTACCCAGCAGCTGAAAGAAGACAAGGAGGCGGGATGGACGACTGTCAGCGAAGTTTTTTTCTCTGCAGCTGCTGATGCTGGTAGGAAGCTACCTTCGCATTCTGCGTTGTTAGTATAAGAACTGGCGGCCTTATACTGGGCATGGCAGGGGTAGCACGCTTCAGTAGCTGCACATACCTGAGCTCGATCGATGCTGCATGCTGTAGCTCAGCAGGCATTTTAGACAGTTCATCACAGCATTCACAGCACACTCTCCCAGGCAGATGAAAAAGAGTATTCCGAGTATGAGAAGCTGACAAAGGCGGGATGTCAAACGCATATGTGGCCTAAAAGATGGGTGCTGTGCCATGCTAGCTGCTAGATCATCTTAGATGATACTTGTTCGGGCCCCATGTCTTGACAAGAGGGATGGCTCTTCCAACAGGGCGATGGGTCAGCAGCCATTAATCGATGGGTTCAAAGGCGGCTCCGCTACAAAGCTTGCATTGTCAAACTCTAGATCATACAGGCCAATGTGTCGCAGTGAAGCTTGTCAGATGCTCCTGCGATTGGCACGACTTGACTTTAGGCGTAGCTAATGCCAGGCAACGCATCAGCTCTTCCTCAAAAGAATGCAAGCGGCTGCGAGATAGATACATCCAAGTCATTCCAGAAGATTCGATGCCACCTGTCAGGCAAGTATCGCCTCAGCGGGAACCACTGTGGAGCAATGCACCACGCAGGTGGCGGAGTTGAAGGCACGGCCTTGCTTTGTGCTTTCTTGAGCGGTTTACAGGGCTTGAAGTCGGGGTGCACTCCAAATCCAAGTGCCAAAAGCAGAAGCTACACTTTAGAGTCACGCAATGAGCTGCAGACTGGCTTCCTGAAAGATGAGGGCATAACCAAACACTCATGAAGCAAGTCATGAAGCAGAGCTTCAAAAGCTCAAGAAAAAACATAGAACCCTTTCGGCCCGCGCCGCAGTAACGCACACCCGTTGGAAGCCAGATTTTCATTGCTGAAGCCATATGGATAGAGAGAAGACCTGGGATGATTAGCATTTCCATGCCGCGTCTTGCACAGCGTAATGCAATGGCATTGCATGATGAGATGGGATCTCACTCCTCGCCTCTTGAGCTTCTGAGGCGAGCATTGCGACAGCAGAGGCGCTGCAGGCGCTGCAATGCTGTCCGAAACCTTTGTGATAGCGGCAGAAGGGGCTCCACGTTGCCCCAACGGACACTTGAACCAGACATGAACTTTCCAGCAATGTGGGATCCACGTCCTAAAAGGCATTGACACTAGCCTCATTCGTCTCCAAATTCCAGGGGAAACCATCAGTTCAGTTCTGGCAAGCAGAGAAGAAGAGTTGGCAGGGGTTGAGTCTCAAAAAACATGGCCACACAATCCTTCTTTGCCGCACTCCTAGAACGAGCACAGGGGTACCCTTCAAACAATTTCTGCACAGATTCATTTTTTGGGGACTCCACACTAATCGGGATCAACATTACTGACTTCTCGAATTTGAAGCGTTAATTTGTTACTGTGAATGAAAGATGCTGCGAGCTACTGTGAGGCTGAGAAGAAGAGTCTTCTGGCCTCAGCTGCCTCAAGCTTGCTTGAGTCGCAGAAGGCGACGCGTTTTTAAGTGCTTCAATTTGACAAATCGGCCATGACGTTCGCATCAACAACCACATTCTGTGAAGAGAAGAGTGGTCTGTTGGAAAGACCATGGTTTCTAATTGAAGTCATTGCAGATGTTCTCGGAGCTCATTCTAACCTACGGATTAGAAGACAAAGCTAGGTCCCAGGATGTGGCAGGCAAACCCAAGGTACATGTCCCGACCTCCAGAGTCTCAAGAGCGTTCCCCAACCTGTCCACCGAATGCCTTTCATAGCATGACGGTACGTGTGCGGGGGCGATTGCAGGTGGTAACAGCAACTACTAATCGTGCAGCGCTTTGCTTCTCCGTGCTACCTGTATTGAACGGTGACTTCGACGATTCTCATGTTGACATTCTCCAACAGCGCCGGTGCACATCAGAGACCCGAGGATACAGACCAACCGAATCTTATGGTCTTGCCGACAGCATTGCTCAATCATTCAAGCATGCTTCTACTGTCATCGCTAAGATGTCATCATAGCTTGAGGCTCTTCCCAAAGATTTCCAAATTTTGTTTCATTCTGTGTGCAAGGATCAAGGAAAGCAACTATGCAAATCAAGCATGGGGACAGCAAGTCGTCAGCAAGCCTCAGGGTAGTTTGCACACCCAACGCAGGCCATTGGTAACAAAGCGGGTCTTGCCACGCGTAAAAAACAGCTCGTGCAGGAGCTGGAATTGGCCAAGCAGCAGCGGTTGACCGAGAAGGACCTGGAGAAATTCCCTGAGATGGCGGTTTCGGGGCTTCTCTGACCCGAAGGTATAGCGCACGGACTTGCTCCACGTGATACGCACAAGCAGAGACGCAATGCCAAGCAGCTTCCAGAAGAAAGATATGCCATGTCTGTGTTGGAGAGCCTTCAATTATTCCATCACGTTCCATGCAATCCATGCTCAGCCCGATCAAGATCGCTATGACCCGTCAAGCATTCGCTACAAACCAGCTACTCTCCTGAGTCCTACTCTGGGCCGGAAGTCTCAGGCAGGAGTTGAGCCTGCCGTTTGGCCCAAGGGTGTTGAAATATGATGCCTGCACGGTTATCAAACGCGGATAAACCAGAAGACAGCCGGGTTCCCGTTTCGCAGCCCCTTGTAGGAGACATTCGTCAAAAACGCTGCGCAGCTGCAGCCTGCTTAGCTATGGGATTTCTTCACTCAACTTGGATGTCAACTCTTAGTCGCAGAACTTTCAAAGTGGTCGGTCTGCATCTGCCATTCCTAGGGGGGACCTCTCCAAGGCAGAAGAGCACAGACAACTTGAACCTTGCGCTGCAAACAGTCAAAAGCTGGGGCCTCAAGCTGCACCGCGCAAAGAAAGCAAAGCTTTTGGGGCAAATTTATCCTCTAGCCCTCTGAAACGTTCTAAGTTTCAGAGCCTTGTCAAGTATTTCCATTTATGTCACGCGCGTTGCACAGCCATTGATCCGTGATGGGATCATTTGAATCAGACTTGGAATGCATGCTGCGCAAACTCAACGTGCAACCTGCCACTGAGAAGCTTTGATTCTGTTCGCGAGGTATGTCTGAAGGTCTGGCGCTGAGCAGTTCCAAACACAAGCTTCAGGGGTTATAAAACCACGCCTAACACCGTGGCATCGATAGTTCTTTGCGGGAGCACTGTTTCGCAACTTCAGGTGGGCCATTGTGGCTGGAGCTCGCAAATCAAACCCAACATAGCTAGTGACGGTTTGCAGGTGGCACCTTTTAGATTCTGCCTTCTGTGGCCAAGCCAGTACAGACCTGAGTAACTTGAAATCAGATACGTCGCAAAGAAGAGATGTCGACACATGTGGCATCCTTTCGTTATGTGTCAGTTTGTACAGTCAATTCTGATACTTTGACGGTTGAATACCTTTGTTTCCTGTAGCTGCCATGCAGTGTCGGCTTGTAACGAATTTGTATTTTCAATAGTTTTTTAGATGTCGATGAATGTACGTTCTAGCAGCGCCGGATGTATCTTGAATTCGATTGTGTGAAGAAGGCTCCTGCGGACACACCAAATCAAATGGCCACTGTACAATTTCTGTGGAAGGTGCGGACTCGTCTGGTCTGTTGCAGAAGACCGAGGGCAAGAAGCCTTGCTCTCATCGGCTGTAGCTGCGTCCTTGCCCTCAAGCCCATGCTTTTCGTAGTCTCGCAAAGTCAAGCTGCAATGGCAAACAAGCGCACTGTTGCTTGCGCAGCCTGGTGCCCGCCCGGAAGGAAGCCACACTTGCCCCGTGAGCGGATTTTGGCAGCCACCTCACAGCTCCGGCCGCGACCTTGGTGTTGCGTTTGAACACTTCTCAGCCGTTTGATTGCACCAGCCAGCCTCACATACGGCTGATGGTGGTTTAGAAGGAAGTTTCCAAATTGCCTGAGCGTGCTTCTGCCCGCAGTCGTGTCTGCAAGGTATAGGACAGCGAGTCAAACGACCCAAGCCCACAGGACAGCTCTGAGTGCTGGCGCTGATGAGCTGCTGACCGCCAGTCAGCCCCAGAACTCAGAGGGAAGAGGTTGGACGGCATTCGTTCTCAATTTCGACAATGAGTAGGGCTGATTTGCGTTGCAGGTATCTCAAGAATAAGAAGGCCTCGCAAGATCCCATGTCCTGCGGGATGGTGCAGTTTTCCCCAGGCAACACTTCCTTACGCGCTTGCTGTCTGTTGCGGGCCGATCATCGCGGAAGGTGCTGACCTCAATCTCAGTGGCGATGCCTGCAGTTGCTGCACAAGGGATTTATAGCATTGGATAGCGGCTCCCTGCAGAACTTTGGCCATTCTCACGACTCATTGCTCCAGCGGCGGATTGTAGTGACGTGTTATTGTACAGCTGACTCAGCGCAATGAAGGCGCAGCCGACGGCCGTGGGCTTTCTTCAGGCCTAACACGAAGACTGTGTGCACCTCATGTACAATGACCGTCCTGTTACCCTGTAGTTTGCGCATGTTTGCGAACGGTGGTGTGCTTTCTGCCCCTGTACCTCTCTTTGCGATCCTTTGCATTTGCACTGCATGCCTTCCCAGGTTCATAGTGTTGAATGGCACCCCTGTAGATCTCTTGAAGCAGGGGGAAGAGTGTGGAGAAGACCACGAGGGAAACAAAGAACGTGCCTCCACGCTCGCGTCCTTCATATCAGGAACAAGTTGTATGGTTAAGTATAGTACTGCAAGCTGAGCGAACAACTGAAAAGCATGTCTTATCAGGTAAATGCGTATCGTGCGCTCTAGGACATGCCTCTGAAGTACCCGCTGGGCAAGGTGGAATCACTTTGACGTTTTGTGTAACCTAGACCTTAAGAAAAAAGCACGCCCAAATTCATCATAGTTATTGTTACTATTCCTATATTTATTACTTGTGTTATTGCTACTGTTCTTAGTATCATTACAATTTGTATCATTGTTATTAGGCAGCTCTCCTAGCCCTCGCATCCAGCTCCCTGCAGCTGGCGAGCGATCGAAAAGCTGAAGCCGATGATGGGTTGGATGAGGTTCCGCGCTTGAACTCAAGATCCTGGAGCCCGACGGCTTTTTCTTTTGGGGGGTGAGAGCATTGTAACATGCCATGATTGGGGCATTCAGGTACTCCGCTACAAGCATGCCCAAGGCCTATGGCTTAAGGTGTCAGTAAGCAAGTAGACAAGTGGATTAGGAGTCTCTGATCCTCGGCAAGAAGCCTACAAGACTACAAGAAGTTTCAAAATTGTAGCCAAGACCTTAAAGACAGAGTCCAGTACAGCAGGGTTGAGGTAAACCATGGTAAACCTAATTGGGAGGCCCGAAAGCCGTGGCCTGAGAGCTGGCATGCGTTCAGAATATCGACTGGCTTTCAAATCTATGAAGAGGGCTGCCTTGCCCATGGGGCCATGGGGCTTCAAGTTGAACTTGCTTTGTTCTGCGAGTTTTCTGGTGTATGGCTTGTGTAGACGAAGCTGTATGATACAGTTGTATGATACTATCACGGTGTCACGTGATTTTGCTAGTGATTGTTCTAGGCGCTGTGACAACCTTGTGTAGGTGATTTGAGGCTTTTTGTATAGGAGTATGGAGTCATGTCTATCATTGGATTCATAGCCCTTGGGACGATGGACATCAACGTCTGCAGCCTTGTTCAACCGTGCCTGCAAGTGCTGTCTCCCGGACAGACCGAGTTCACCAGCGGCGACGAAACACCGTCGGTCGGAGATTTGTCGGAGACGCTGAAGCAGGCGTGGAAGAAGAGCAATTCCCGCGCAGCGTGACTCTCTCTCTGCGCCCTGTCCATTGAGGCCTTTTCAGTTGAATTGGATTTGATTTGGGTTCACATGCAAGTGTCCAAGAGATTCAGATGAGGTTCTGCTCTCGAACTTGTCAGAAACGTGCTGTCAGAAACGCGCTGCCATCCAATCCAGATGCAGCATGTGATTCTTCCGATTACGACTGCATTCATTCTTGGCACAAAACGAGTTGGTTTGGGGATGTTTGGGGTCTTCGTGGCTTTTTGACCAGTGTTGAGGTCAAATCCGAGACGGAGACTGAGCTGGAAGCCACGCAGACAGCGGAGGAGAAGTCGATTTGGCCGCAAGATGGAACAAGATATTAAACTTGGAGCGTCAGTCTCTGCTACGCAAAGCGAGAGGGGAAGGAACAATTGTTCAATCTGGGATGTTTTAAATTTGGGGAATCCTGGGGAACTAGAATTCTGGAGTATTCTCTCGCGATCAGTCGCTTCTGCGCTTTTCAAGTGCGACCACACCGTGAAGCTGCCATAATCTTTACAGATTTGGGCTGAATCTGGGTTTGGTTCCAGCATGTGCAGCAATGAATTCTTTCAGAATCGAGGTAATCGTCCTTGCACAGCGTCGCAGATCAGCAGAGGCATCTGAACTTGCTGTAATTCACTGACCTTTCCACGAAAAGGAGTAAAGTTCCTGATCTTGCCTCTCGCCCTCCACAACCTAAAACGTTGCTGGTCTTGTCCAACTCGGCCGTCAACCAAGTTGGTCAAGTATGAAGGCAAGCATCCCTTGACAGCTGACTGAAATGAAAGCACACGGAACCTTTAACATTTCATTGCCTTGAAATCTTTTGCTGATTTGCAAATTGTTCTGCAGCTTGAGGTCGCGAAAAAACTTCGCAGACCTCACCAAGACGCTGGAAGAGGCGTCGGGTTCAAAAAGAACTCAAGTGTTTGAAAGTTCAGGTCTGAGGGACCTTCAAGTGGTTGCTTGCAAAGCAGGAAGCGCGGAGAGTCCACTGCAACCCGCAAGCCCAACAAGCATTGAAGTGAGAGAGATTTGTCTTGTAATCAGATGATCGGAAGCTCCCAACCTTCTGGGATGACATGCCCATGTCAAGCTCTTGGCATGTTGAGGAAGTGGCAGCGCGCCAAGCGGCCGTGGACGAGGTGAAAGCAGCGATCTCCACCTCAGAAGAGGCCGCGGGGAAGGAGCTCAGTACTCAAGGCGAGTCGAGGCCGTTGGACACAACAACATGGCGCTCAGGGTTTTGGGGTGGTTTGTGCGTGTCTCGAGATTCGGGTTGCTGCTGTGCGCTTGCACCGCGCAGAGCGCAACTGATAGCGGCGAGTTGCAGAGAGAAGCATGCCTTCGTATGGCCTCACCTGCCTGACAGGAAGCGGGCAAGGCAAAGAGTGACTTGCTCTCTGTGAACAGGCACCCGTTGCGGCATTGGTTTGGTAAGCAATGACTACATGGCACCAGGAAACCTAAACGGCATGGTCCCAGACACGCTGTTTGATGGGCTCCTCCTCACGTGTTTATGTTTTGCGAGCCCGCTACGTTTGTTGGTCAGATACCAGTGCCCAGCCTGATGGGTGACAGGCGGCTGTCCTCCACAAAGCAGCAGCTCACAGAGCTGCAAATAGACCTGAAGGATAAGAGCAAGGACGCCCAACGACCATTGGGGCAAGTGCTTGTTGGGAAAGGTTGAGGTTGCAAGTTGTATGCTGCCCATAACATTGAAGTTAGAGCCCAGCAGACTGGATCCCAGAGAAACGCCTGAGGACTTCACCGCGCGGCAAAAGTCCCGCGACTCCGAGGCGGGTGTTGTCCAGGAGGCTCGGTGCTCGCGAGGACATGTTTGCACACGGCTCTCAAGTCTCTAGGACACTTCTTACCTTCAGGTGCACTCCACGCCGTCAGTGAGTCATCAACTTCGTGCTACGTAACATGCCTGTAGTTGAAGTCCTCCTATGGGAACCAAAGGGCAGACTGCCGACGATACGCCTTAGATTTGCACGAGCTAATGGACTCGCAAGGCTGATGTTTCCAAACCACGACATTTTGAGCCACTGCGCTCTCAGAAAAGCATGTCATGACATTGTCAAGACTACATGGAGCCTGGCTCCCCCCCACTGTGAATTGAACAGTTCTTTGATGGCAGAAGCAGATCAATGCGCCTGTATGACAGAGGAAGATTAGGTGTTGCCTGGATATCGGAGCAGTAAGGTGAATCGTGCTATACGGCTCCGCAGTCCCATGACTAAGGGCCTAAGGCCTTAGAACTGGCAGACCATCTTCAGACGCCAAGGCCCTGGAGATTCTCACAAAGAAGAGCGGCACCATGGACGTGGCGCGGCGCTGTTTGTTGTCCTTAAAAGATTCTGGTGGCTTCTAAACCAGCCCAAGCCTTGGACTTGAAGCAAACTCTGGGAAAATGACACGCTCACAGGGTAAGGCCTGGACGTATCATGCAAGAAGGGCTATAGCTTCTACCTGTACAAGGCACCATGTGGCGTGCCATCTCAACTGGTCTAATGTTAGCTTCCCGCTGTAGCAGAAGGTAAGAGCTGCCCCCCCAAGATGGATGCCTAGGGCAGTTGGAAACAGAGCTTTGGTCAGTATAGTGTACTCGACAGAGCAGTGGGTGCAGGAGCAAGTTACAACCAAAAGGAACATAATCTGGAAGGCAGTGAAGCAAAAGGCGCTTCTTTCATCGCGGCTGTAAGCAGGGTCGTCGTGCGATGAGGAAACTTTTGCCAATAGCTCGTTCTGTGTGAAGTCAGAGTCAGTGATTGCAAGGCAGCCGTTGAAGAAACAGCGAAGAAGGCAGCTAGCTTCCTGCAGCTGTCTTCAGAGGCTCGTGCCCCAGTCACCTGTGACCAAGACTTGGAGCAGTCTCCTACTCGCAGCAGATCCTGAATGATCAGGACATGCCATGATGCCATATGATGCCACATCAGCCATGCAACATGATGCCTTACCCAAAGGAAGGCCAGTGTGCCAGTATCCTAACTGGCCTTCCTACACACCGCTGGCCAGGTGTGGGGCTGGTAAGCATGTGAGGCCGATGCCGCTTTCAGGCAGCCCGTCACCATTGGGGCCAACGCACCCTCTAGGCACAGGGTGTATGACAGCAAGGCGATGAGCTAAAGCGCTTGCTGGTGGTGACTTTCACCCGTGTGGCTCACACATGCAGAGTCCGAGTGGGTTCCATGCTTACTCGCAGGGCAGGCCGCCGACGTGCACTTGGACATGGTGTGCAATCTAAGACGTTGCCTATTAAGGAGGACAAGGGTATGAATTCGGGCCAATTCAGGATGCAGCTTGAGGTTGACAATTTTCGCCTGACATGACGTACCCTCAGCCCTTCAATAGGAATCAAGCCGTCTTAGATTAAACTCGGTAAGCATATTTTGTGCTAGGCTAGAGGTGCAATGTTTTTACGCTGCCTCTGAAGGAAGGCCGGTATGGACGGCTGATGCCGCTTGTGGGGACAAGCTTTCAAGAAATGATGATGCACGCCAGAACCAATCGCACCCTGTGCTGGAGTTTGGACTTGTGTCTCTTAGAACCGCTTGAGACATGGACAGTCAGCGCCAGCACCACAGTGCACCAGGTGCAGATGGACGAGAGTGCCAAATTTCCGGCAAGTTCTTAGACACAGGGGGTCAGACGACTCGGTAGGTAGAGCTGTGGCTGGATAGACTGGTGACTGACAGGTCCGGAGTTGGAAGATGTCCGTTGCATCTTCGCTGAGGCCTTCAGCACCCGCCAGTCCTCGCACGAGTTGAGCAGGCGCAAGGTGGCCCAAGCCCCAGAAACGGTATCCTGAAGCTTCTTGGCAGTTTAGGGTGCCTGCGTTGGGAGTTTCGAATTTAGAAAGGCTGCGTGTAAGTGTTGCTCGTAGAGAGCATATGACTCATTACTTGGTGAAGGACAGTCATGGACGCCATGCCACCGTCAGTCAAGGAGGTGAGACGAGCAGACCTAAAATTCAATCACGCCTTACAGAACCGACGCAGCAATCCATGAGCGCTCTGCGCAATCTCTGCGCAAAAAAAAACCTTGCAAGGCTTCCCCAAAAGGGCCCGGCAACTTCGGCAACCCAGGCCCGGCTCTTGGAATCGGCATCCAGCCCCGGCCTTGCAGCTTTGCTGCTGCAGTCCCAGGAGGGCACCGGCAGGACTGAAGCTCTGCTTTGAGGGGGTAAGCATGGGTAAGCCGAATGGTTATGCAGGATAGGATAGCTTTTGATTTCAGGCCTGTAGTTTGATTCCGGGGTCGTCCTGTCGAAGATCCACTTGCGAGATCGTAGGAACCAGAGCATCAATTTTACAGCAAGTTGCTGCCATAACTTAGGCAACCTGCGCATAACAGGTTCTGGTATACGGACGACAAACTTGCCTGCACTCATGGCTGCTGCTTCTTCAGGTTCAGGCACAAAGGGTGTCCTTGTGTAGGAGCCATGGGGTCCATTTCTGGACTGGTACACGCGCTGCAAGTGGTACGAAACAGATTTTATTTGGAGGGTCTCCGATTCAAAGCTTGGAGTGGTAGAAGATGCTACTCAGGAGGGTCTCCTATTCAAAGCTTTGAAGCGCGGCTTTTGGAAGGCTCTTTCGAATGACACGAACACGGAAAACATGGATCAGGGGCCTTGTGGCTGCAGGGAGGTGGCAAGTAATGTTAAAGCTAGCACGCTCCGCCTCGGCCTGCCTACGCTTACGCATTCTCACAATGGGCTCGTCGACGTGCATGCTGAGCCAGCCTGCGCCGGTGACCAAAAAGTCAGCAAAATGTCAGCTCGCGATTCAATGCCCGGCCCGATTAATTAATTCTTCGGGATTGGGCAAGAGACTGAGAAAACATCAAAGACCCTTGGAGGCGTGCAGCCCCCATGGCTCAATACACCTAGGCGACAAGGACAGCCCAAACACAACACATCAAAGTGCTGTTTCTGGACAATTGTTGCAAGCCGTCAGACAGGAGGATGGGCCGGGGGGGGCGCGGGGGGCGGAGGGCCAGAGGCCACCTGAATGACAAACCTGAAGCCCGACCCTCAAGCCTTCCACGGAGTTCCACCAGAGCTCCACGCCCAACAAGGGTTGGACGTTGGGCGGGGGCTCGGCGGATTGCTCTGGGTTTGGCGAACCAAAAATGCTGAAAACATGGGGCATGCAGCGGGGCCCAACTGGACTGTGGCTGCAGGCGGGCCATCTGCTCCAGTTTTCGGGCTTCGGAGGTTTGAACAATGACAAAACCGCCTCCAAACGCAACCCTTCCGAGTGGCCATTCAGGCGGAGGCAATGTACACGCTTTGGCTCAAGCCGACCCAAGTACCCAGTTTGTGCAGCCATTGATCGCGGCAAGCCTGCATTGAGCTTGAGACCGACAGAGTTACGACAACAGTGATTGCGAAGCTGTGGTTGCATTGTTTGAGGCTCCTACGGGTTGTTAATGGTTGTTAACGCGCAAAAAATGCTTTCCCGCCTGAGCCCATCAGGACTGGCCTGCGTGGCACGAACAGCATTTCGGGACCTTCCGAGGCCTCATGATCACTGCTGCCGCCGCGCATGGCGTTTTGAGCTGTGCCAACATCCACCCCCTTTGCGCACGGTTTCCCACAGCGTCCATGCCCCAACCAGAATCTCGTTCGTGTTCCAAGAGCATCCGATAACCAGAGCATCCATGCCCAAAGCATAGTCTCTGAGGTGACCACAGAACCCATGCCCAAAGCAGAATCCTGTTCGTGTTCCAAGAGCATGCGGTGACCAGAGCATCCAACCCAGATCAGACAGTGCCTGGCTGAAGCTGTAAAAGAGACAAGCAGTGTGTGTCCATCTGTCAAGGCATGTCAAAACTCCCATGCTGAACCGCCTCCGTGCGCTCGAATCCACAGCCGCAACGCAATTTCCAGATTTTTTTACTCAATTTTTCTCTTTCTGGGCCACCACTGAGTCCGCGGGCTGCCGAATATGCCTCGCCTGCGCCAGGGATTCTGACATGCCTTGATATCTGCTGCGCTTCTCGGCGCAGTTTACGACCCGTAGGACCGTTGTTTGAGTGTGGCTGCACAGTCGCAGCTGTACAGCAAGCACCGGGTGCCAACTGGAACGTGAGCTGCAGGGAGGTGGGAAAGTGAGGGGCATTTGCTCCAGGTTTTCGGACCTTTGCAGGGATGTAAATATGGGGAGGGCCAACTGAACTGTGGGGCTGCAAGTGGGAAGGTGAAGGGCCTTGGAGGGCTGAACATGCGGAAAACATGGATCAATCAGGGGGCGCAACTGAATTGTGGGGTTGCAGGGAGCTAGGAAGGTGAGGGGCATTCTCCTCCATGTTATCTTAGGAGGATCCCCTCTTGAAATCCTGGACTAGTAGGGAGAAAACAGCATGTGGGATTGTTCCCTTCAAATTGTAGTCAAGAAGAAGGCATTGAGTTGTTCGTGTTCTGCTACAGCACCGCTTTTGTCGCTGTAGTTTTGTTCTTGTCGCTGTTTGTTCCAGGAGATCTTGACGTGGTAGGCTGTTTTCTTGTCGCGGTTAGGTTCCTTCAGGGCTTGTTGCGGTAACACCACCCCTCACATCCCCTCACTAGATTTGGCAGGAGGGACGTTTTCAAGAAAGTCAAGGCGCGGCTGATGGTGTGCAATTGGCCCAGCAAGATCAGATCATCTTGTTCCGTGCAAAGGGATGCAAGACTTGATCTTGCCTGCTCCCGACCTTCACACTACCATCAATGAGCCCAGAGAAAGTTTCCGTGCACACTTGCGGTAAAGGCCTTGATCCACGAGATGCTTTCCAAGCTCAATGAACAGCAGGCTCAGGCCTGATGTGCGTGAGGGATATGAGGTCAATGCGCACTAAAAGTGGGGTGGCGCGGAAGTTCGTGTTCAGACGCGACGAGAAAGAAATTGATGCACGCTCTGCACATGTTAATCCGTTTCATTCACAACCACGCTCTTTCCGCGGCCCTTCTTGCCTGCTACGCCATTTTGGTCATTTGGAGTCGTCATGTTCATCATGTGGAGGACGCGCGCCGGGACAGTTGGTGTCAGACGGAGCTGTCCAACACCAACAATGCCAAGGCAGCCCGGGTGCTTCGCGACACATCTGAGAGCTCATTGTGAAGAACAGAAGGGGGGCAAGTCGGATAACTGCTTCAGTAGGTTTGGTACCTGAGGATAGAAGGTCTGTAAACGCCGGTTTTGGAACATGTCCTACGAGTAGGTGAGGGATCCCTAGCAATGAAGGCTGCATCCAAATTTGCCTCCCACCTTGCGAGCAGCACTGCTTGCGTCGGAAGAATTGATGAGGCCAGCAAGGCAACCCGTGCCGACAAGCTCAAGACAAAGATGCTGGCTGTCAATGCCGAGCCTGTGACTAAAGACTTGCAAGTCAGTGGTTGACGAAGTCTTGCCAGGGGCTACGTGTAATCAGCAAAGGGCGGTGCGATGTCGTGTCTACAGCCTTTTTCCAGGCATGGCACATGCATCTTGTTTTGTTGAGCCGCGGGCAAGAAATTCAGATCCTTCACAGTGCAGCCTCAGGTTGTCCTCTCTGAAGTCTGAGATTGAAAGCAGCCGCAGCCTCAATCTCCTCATAGCTTTTTAGAAAGGCAGAGTCAACTCGTATTGTAGCTTCATGGCAGGCCGCGCGCAAGGTTTCTGCACTGGTTCGGGCAAAGGAAATCAAAGGAGGCTATGCGCGAATACCGTGGTAGATGAGATACCGTCGCGTTGCTTGTCGTACGTCAGCTGCGTGCTGGAAGCGGTCTCTTCTCAGATGCTATCCTGGCGAATTGTGACGTGGCTTCGATGGCCTAGATGCGGCAAGATGAAGCTGGAAACCGCCTAGCATCTGCATTGAGTATATGAGACCTTGGTCTGGCCCATGATGCAGAACTCAGCTCAACTACTTAGATTTCATCACATATTGCCAGAACAGAACCTCTCTAGAACTACTTGGTGACAAGCACAGGCAATCACACATGTAGCTTAGCCCTACCGGAATTGAGTCTGCCCATGATGCGCCATGGCTGGGCTGCGCGTGCATTCAGCAAATCTTGTTGCCCCCTATCCCTCATATTCCGCGCCGCGCTTTCATCTTCGCGAACACTGATCACTGTGAAAAACATGATGAGAGCAGTTGCTGCTATTTCAGGCACCAAAGACATCGAGGACATGAAGGCCAGTTTTCGTCCTGGTGGACTCACGAGAGCTGATTTCCAGGTTTTCTAGACTGTTCACAAGTGCTTGCGCCCTTGCAGCGTTTTGAGGATCTTATTGAGATTTGCAGAGCTAAGCAGCTAGGCAATGCGTGCCAGTTCCTCTGGCCACAAGGATGCAGCACACATGAACCCCAATAGAAGTTGGCCTAGCAGTGATCCACCCACTCTGCTGTGTTACCGCCTGGTAGAAGGCCTCCTTGCTAGCCGCTGAGAGCCAGCGGGCCAAGGAGAGTGCCAAGGCCAATTGGGGCAGTTTTGGGGCTTTCAGGGGCTCTGGGCTTGAGAGTCGTTTCAAGACGTATGATACCGTGTGTTTTGGTTGCCTCTTGGGCGTGATGCCGGGGGCGTGTTGGACATGTCCTGCATACCTCGCTGTGCCCTGCGCGTGCGTGGCAAGTTGTCTTTGACCAGTCGCAGAGCCAGGCTAAAGCTGACGTGGTGATGTACTCCGAGGCTCAGAGCATGGGACTGGCACTGCGCAGTGGGATCGCAGTCTCGGTAAATGCCGCAGATCCTCAGCATATCTGAAAGGAGGCCCCTGTCTCAAGTTCAAATCCCCTTTCTGATCTGATCTGGTGCTGGAGGACCAGCGGGTCCTGAGGGAGGCAATCCTTGTTCTTCAGCGAGTCTACGGCGAAACTGCAGCCGCCGACTTTCAAGATGCTTCAGCTTTATGGAGATGTGTGGCGGGGTGTGTTGCTGTGCCCATTGGCCAAGCTGCCCAGAAGATTGCGGATTTTCTGGTGGTTGATGTAAGTTTCCTTAAACAAATCTTGAGAGTCATAACTTTTCTGGCAGGAAGGGATTTCTGACGAGCGCTCGGGAACTGAAAGGTATCTAGTGCCTTGCCTATCGGCAAAATGTTGTGGAATGAGATGTGCTTCGCCACGTTAGTTTTGCAGGTACTCTTGTCAAAGCGTGCTCAAACTTTTCCAAGGTCAAGGCCGACAAGAGCGGCTACAAAGCCAAAGCCACAGGCTGGCCTGAGACCAAAGCCAGAGCTCCTCAATGGCTCTGCGTCGCCACATAACTATCGAAGCACTCTGATTGAATCACTTGCTGCGTAGGAGTCTTGACTAAGCGTGACTTGCAGGTACAATTTGAAAGCTCAAGTGGCAATCATGTAGGCAGCCTAGACAGCAAGCGCTGTTGATGTGAATCGCCTAAAGGTGCAGTCCCAGAAGTCTGCTTCAAACAACATGAGGAGTAGTTGCTCGTGCAGGTACAGGAGTCGTCGGGCTACTTCAGGTGTCCCTAGAGAACTTTGCCGATCTCGCGGAGGCTCTGGGACGGTATTGCCTGCACTATTCCGTGACGACTGCAGCGATGTTTGGGCATTTCTGGGATTGCAGACGTTACGCTGTAGGTCCAGGGTGCGTCCTGCCTCATGCTGTTGAGTTCAGCTTACTACTTTAACTTGTTGAGTTCAGCTTACTACTTTAACTCTCCACCTCTGTGACGCACTTACAGACCTACAATGTCCGATCTCGAATTGCCTTCTATCTAGCCCTTCCAAAGGAGACGGCCAAGGGCGAGAAGGAGGCCAAGGCGGATTTCCAGGCTTGCAGGGCTACACATCTCTCAGTCTGAAGAGCAATTAAAGCTGAAGAGCTTAGTGAGATGAAGTCAGATGCAAGGTGCTGCAGTGCCTGCGAGCACAAAAGCAAGCCTCCAAAGCAAGCCACTCTGAAATCTCTTGTACTGAATCCAAGTAGTACGAAGCCATGCCGCTGCTTGAGTCAATACCGTGTTGACATGGTGAATGGCTTAGGATCTTGCCTGAGACGTACCCAAATACATGTGCTTTGTTTGCTTCAACGTAACCCGTGTAAGCCTGCAGAGGTTAGATAAGTTCTGGCTCAAGCCCACCTTGCGATTCCGCATACCTCCTGCTTCCTGCTGCTTCCTCACCATGGCGCTGCCAAAGAGGACCGCCGTGAAGAAGGTCATGAAGTCCAGGGCCATGAAGGCCAAGGCGGCAACAACTTTGCCAGCGTCTTCCGAAAGATCGCTACTTCCTGTATGTTGACGATTGCACGTCCATGGTACGTAATCTCGAGGCTATCGCGGACGTGCAAGGCTTTTGGGATGAGCTGTGCCTGACCACAGGGATGCAAAAGGATACCCTGAAAGTTCAAGTCTGGTACCGTTCCACCCGGACTGTGAAACATGTGGTCAGCACACAAGGTGTGGTTCTGGGAGCTGTGCTCGGTCCTAGGTCCCAGCAAGACCCTACCCCAGATCATTTAGATCGTAGCGTTCAAGGTCACAAAATTAGAATATGTGTCGCATGATGTGCCTGCCTGTTGCCATCGCTTGGCGAGCCAAGATTTGCGCCACTCTGATCGCTCCTATGATGTCCTGGGGTCGTGATTTCGATGGTGTTGGTGTGGATCCAGAGGAAGTAAGGTCTCATGCCAATCGCATTCATCATGCGTGTTTCGGACGCGACGTCCGCGATGATAGGGGCAGTCGTGACCTTCAGCTCTTGGCAAGTTGGGGTCATACGGCCGATCTCGCGTTCGCAGCCACTTGCTGAATCCTGTCCGCTTATTGGCGCCAGTCCGGTGTTTTAGGGCAGCTCGCAGTTCCTCATCTGCGTCTTTGTAAGCCGATGCTTGTTGCTACCGAGTTCCTTTCCACTTTGGGATGACAGTTGATTGCCTGGGGCCAGTGGGTCCAGGAAAACGTTACCATCAAAGTTCTGGACACCCGTGCCGGCTTCAATGCGGCAATGCACAGTTTGCGTCAGTCATGGCGGGTTGAGAAACTACGCAAATGGGTTGATTCCCGAACTCGTCGTGATTCTCAGTTGGCCAGGGATTGCAGCTTTGTCGCGATTGCAGAAGTTGCGGATCAAGTGCGCAAACTTGCTACCACCTTTAGTGGTGATGCCTGCGAGGTCATATGTGGCGGCATGAAAACTGCCGCTACTAGCAAAGCATCATGGGAGACCCGTGAAATCAGCTTCAATTGTCATCGTGAAGTTTGCCCCAGTGTCACTCATATCCTGTGGGAGTGTCCCACCTTTGACACTTGAGACAGCTGCCACGTCCAGATGATGTCCTGCAAGCTAGAATCGGTTGGTCGCACTTTTGTCTCAACTTACGATGCAAGCCAATGCTCGAACAAATGGGTCGTAGCCGTGCTGCGGAAGCTGCTTCTCGAAGAAGCCGTGCTGGAGCTCGTAGGTATCGTCATCGTCGGTCCGGGGGTGTAGGGTTCGCAGAGCCTGAGGCTGAGCAATTGCTGTATGGTTGTCAAGCCGCAGATCGCGGAGGTCACTAGATTTTTGAGAGTTGCTGTGGGACCCATGCTAGGCATGCCAGCTGAGATCCAACATGGATTGCTTGTGTACTCATCCGCGTTGCAATACACACTTGCCCTCCTGCAAAAGCATCCTTGGTGCGTAAGTAGGGTTTTTGGGGCTAGGTCTTTTTACTTGTAATTCTTTTGCCGTCAGGCATGACATGTGTGCAGAGCCGGATGGCCTTGCAATGTTTATGCCTCCAGGCAAGACATGTGTGCAGAGCCGGCTGTTCCTGTGGAAACCGTGCTTTGTGCCGTTTAACCCGCGTCGGGTTGCGGTACATCATCAAATTAGAAGTTTGCAAAGCGCTGGCTTGACTCCGTGATGACGGCACGTAAGGAGCTATCAGCTAGGAATCGAGGGCTTTCGTGCAGTGGGTGGCAAAAGCTCTCAGGGCAAAGCCCTGTATGCCAAGGCGAAGGCGCTTTATTCCGCCTGAGCCTTTAGGGTTGGAACCTGGTTGGGACCTGCTTCCGTGGTCGTTCACGCAGCCGGGTCCGGGTCATCCACAATGCCATTATGCGCAAAATGCGCTACAAGACCCAGATGGTGTACAGCTGCTTTTATGGGGTCATTATGGCAGAGGCAGCTGATGTCTTGCAGCAACGGCCCAGGAAAAGGGAAACCTGAGGCTGTTTGAGATCTTTGGAGCAGACTTGCGAGTGGGATGAAGGCTTGCAGCTTCTTTTAATGGGTGAGGCTTAGAGAATGGATCCTGATTCTGATAAAGGCGGAGGAAGCACGGTTTTTCCAGCCAAGTTCATCTTCCGTTCATTCCTTGATTCCTTTCATTTCCCTTGCTTATCTTTTTCTGGAGGTATTGGCATCCCGAGTGGATAGCTTTCCGGTTTTTTGAAAGCATTTTTACGGCTTTAGCCTGCCGCCCACCGATGCAGCTTCTCGGCCAGGAGCTTAAGACCACCACGGAGGTTCGCCTGGCCACCTTCGAGAAGGCCTGTTCTGACGTGGTGGGGGTCTAGGGGACTTCGGCGGAGTGCTCTGCTCGGAGATCTCGGAGCTGGAAGTCCAGCGGTCCAACACTGTTTCTGGGTCCTCCTTCAAAGCTGTCTGTATGGAGCTCGTGAGCAGAGACCTGTGTTGTAGCATTTGCACGTTGAGGTGTTTCGTTCCTGGGTATCATCAAGCAAGCGGGTGCAAGTCAAATCTCCTGTGCAGGATACGGAGTACAAGAAGCAGATGATTACGAAGCTCGAGTCTGAGCTGGTGAGGGCCAACGAAGACCTGGCCAGCTACAAGAAAGAGATCAAGGCAAGGTCGATAAATTGCAGATATGCACAGATGAGCCCAGTGCGTGGCAGGCGCTGAGCACCTACCTAGAGGAGCTCGCGACATCCTGCTCTGCCACTTGGACTTAACTGCCTGTCAAGCAGGACGGCAAACAAGTTGCCTCTTAGATCCCAAGCCATGCTGGCGGCAGTTTTGGCCACCCCAACATGCCCTTTCCATGCTTTTGGTCCTGAAGGCTGAGTGATGTGTAGCGGCAGTTTGCACCGGTTTGCACCGCAAACCAGTCATGAGGTCAAGGGCCTCAGCTTCGAGGAGCGTAAGGCGAAGAGGGAGGAGCAGCTCGCATCGTTGAAGGAGGCATTGTGCTCCTCGCACATTCCTGCACTGCAGTGCGGCACAACGTGCACGCTCGCAAAAGATGTTGTTGTGTAGTATTGTTGATGAACCGCACTGGCGGAGACGTTAGACCGCAGCTGATGCATCTGGCGCAGAAGCACACCTTGGAAGAACTTTCAGGAACTAATTGCAGCTTGGCATTTCCTCTTTCATAACCTAAAGTTAAAGGCCTGACAAAGGAGACGACGAGACAAAGAGCATGGACCGCTCAAAATCAACACCAACCAATATTCGCTTAGTATTCTTACGTATTCAAAGCTACTTGTTGCATGAGGCCTATCTCAACAAGGGTACAGGTAGCGAGAAGCACCCAAGGCCTGCACCAATACCACAACATACCAAGTACAGGGGCCTTTATGACTTCTTGGTGCCTGTGAGGCCCTGCGCGTCTTGCAGTCTGAAGACTGACGTGGCCGGCATGGCATCTGTGTTAGTCCACTGCGGACATAACTTAAGGGTTTGGCTGTGGATCGATCCTTCACATAAACAACGGAGCTCTTAGCAGCTATATGGTATCGACTCCAAGCAGTGCTTAGGTCTGCTCTTGAACCCACAGCCATGGGTTTCCTTTGTGGAAGGCAAGGCTGAAGTGGTCAGCGAACCATGACTTTGGGCGTCAGAACAAGCGTGTACAGACCCGGTCTAAGGGTAGGTGCATTTGAGAGCGGCGAGTTTGTAAGCGTCAGCATGCTTTGAGGCAGTCGGGCAGTTTGGCTTACAGAGTGCACCAGCTTGCATTTCCTTCAGGACACCTAGATGATGCTAGGCAAATCGGAGTTGTGTTTCGAACTCGTATTACTATGACGGGTTCCCGCCCGAGAGAAAAAAGTGCACATTCAGATTCGCCTGATTTTCGACACCCAGGAAACAGAGTCTGAGCAATTCGCTAGCATAGTCCAAAGAAACCTCATGAGGTTTTTGGGAGGTTGCAGAAATTCACTGTGTCATCCTATCCCTTGCTTTTTGCTTGCCTTCTAGTGGAAACCAACCAAAACTGCACTGAAATGCGTCCTGCGCCTGTTGGGCTCCACTTCAGCCTTTAGGCCAGATGGAGCATGAGACAGAATGTGTACGCAGCGGTGGCAAGATGCAAAGCATGCTTACACCAGGAACATCAGAAACATCGACGATGGTAATAGGTCACAACGACTCCAGCATATGCAGCTGCGAATAATACCCGCAACACTAGCGGTGCTCAAGTCTTAAGCGGTGTCTGATCAAAAGCGCCATCCCAGCAGCCAGCGGGCGGATCAATGGCGGGGGAGCTTGGTTTGAGCCCACGCGCTTCAGTGCTGTGAAGCATTAAATAACAGGTGCATCAGCTTCCTTCTATCATCTTCAGACTTCCCAAATTCGCGAGACCATGCCCGACGGTATTGGTACTGTGGGTCCCCACTGTGTTGTCTCCTGTTTTGTGAGAGGTTGGAGAGTGCATGCGGTTGGGCCCTTTGGCAATTTTCAATCACAAATCCAGTCAACGGCTTCGCAGTTCAGGATGTGCAAGGAACCAGGCTTGCACGGTTTCTGGTTCATGCTAAGTGGCCGCCAAAGGCGCGGCAATCTTCAGGGAGCGCTTTGAAGTTAGGACGTTGACGACTGATGTTCGGCAATCAAGATAAAACTTTGGCTCTCAGTCAGGACTCCTGCACATCAGCTACATCATATGCCGATCGACGTTTACTCACTAATTCTCAAAACTTTTCAGAAGACATCTACGTTTGTCAGCACTTGCTTAGTGCCGTTCTTTTGTGCAAATAGTGCAAGCATCTTGTCATGTATGAGGAGCAACTTATGGCCACCAAGAAACAAAGAAAGTTGTCAATGCCCAGTTTCCGACATGAGCTTTCGAATGCCGGATTTGCAGTGAATGTATTTGAACATCGATAGTGGCAAAATCATCTTCTGGATTCCCGGACGATGCCCTCGCTTGATAATTGGCATCAACTTGTCAACGCACCTCCATCATTAGCCAATTCTGTTGTGAGCCCTCATCAACATTAATAGAGGAGCAAGTTGGAACAACACAAGTCTGTGAAAACTCTTGCTGGGCTGGCCGCAGACGCTTCCATTCCTCTGCGAAGCACGTCAAGGACTGGAAGGGCTTGGCATTTGGCTTGCAAGTGCGCAAGACCATGTGCATGCGGCATCAATGGCCCAAGATAGCCCAAGCAAAGGAAACCAGACAATGCACCATGATCAAGCCATGCTGCCCTTCGCAAGTGTTGTCACCTCAAGTTGCTCAGGCTCCTGAGAATTAGTACAGACAGCCCACTCAGCACAACCTGCTGCGAGCCCTGAGATCTGAGGTTCTTGGACCGATCCTAAAACTCTTATTTGTCGCAATTTGCAGGCGCCAGCTCAGACTCTTCAACGTCGCCTCCGCCACATGCTGCTGCCTCATGCAAGGACTGTCCCACAGATTTCCATAAGAGATTCAGCGTGTAACCATGAGCTTCATTCATGTGTGTCAGCCCGTGGAAGCAGCAAGTTTGAGCAGGTGTTTAGGATGTTTCACTCGAAGCGGGGCCCAACTATCATGAAATGAGGTGATTCGTTGATTAAAGGACCGTCACATAGGAAGTAAGTCCCTTGCATTTCATGGCATGCAACGCATTCGCATGCTGTGCCTGAGCAGGCTTCGTCATTGGACATGAAACGCTTAATGTCATTTGCATGCGCAGGCACGATTGCCCTACAGCCATGAAAGCCGCAGGGTCAATGCCATACATGTAGGGGAAGAAGCTGCAAAGGGGCTGCGAGGGTCTGCCAAATTTCTTGAAGTGCTGGACGGGCTCTTGCATGCTCTTTGTTGCTTTTCGTTTGCAAAGACATCCTGCATGTGTCCTGCCAGCTGAACTGTGGCCAGAGGGACATTCAACGTGCAGCATGCCTAGCTATGAACATTTTAGGGTCGCTGGTATGCGGTAGCCTTTGGACATTAGCCCTGCTGAGGCTGAGCGCGCTGTCGATTTGCTTCACCCATCCTGCGATAGAGACATGTGTGAGCAGGCTCGCCATGGAACCATGGCTCGCCTGGGTAAGTGGCAGCTCAAATCATTGCTTTGTATGTTTGATCCCTCTGCTGCAAGAGTTCCTTGTGAAAAAGCAACTACGCATGCGACAACATAATGCTGCTCAGCCTGGGCCAGGACTACTTGCAAGACCTCGAGCGTGAGGCAATTTGTCTCAGAGCTGCAAAAATCACTTCAGCGGAAGAGACAAATTGCCTAAGGTCCTAGAGGCTCTGCAAACTCTCTGCAATGCTCTGCAGCTCTGCTTTGACCGCACGGTCGAGAAAGTGGTAGAAGTTGATCGGATGACCAGATGATGGGTGAGCTCTTTGCTGGACTTTGGACTTCTTTTCGGCAAGAAAAGGCCCTCGCTCCCAGATTGAAGCGGCTGAGGCTCAGCGAGGTGCGCTGCTCTGCCGTTACGCTGCTCACAGCACTGTGAAGATGTGTGAAGAAGTACGTGCATGCTGCGAACGTGAGCAGATGTGAGGAGTCAGAGGAAGGAGGGGTGTTTTGAGTTACTTCCCTGTGTCGACTGCAAAAGTTGGCTATTATTTATGGTTCACTGCTGTAAAGACCAGCGTGCAGATTCAGCTTGCCCAAAACACGGTCCATGAGGACGGCGGGGAGGAGTGGGAGGGAGTGAGGGAGGGAGGGAGAGCCATGTGGCCTTCAGCATGTGGACAGTGGTTTTGTATTTCCCAAGCGGATTCCAGCATTGGCTCCAAGTGTTTGACATCATTTCCCAACTTGGCAAGGGTCATCCAACTTGCGGCGGGTACCTGCCAGACGATGACCACATGGCAGCCGCTCGTCAGATCTGTGCAATGAAAAGTTTGGTCACCTGTGGTCTATATTGCAGCACTGCATGCTTGGCAGGTCAGGAATGCAGAAATTACAATTGGCTCGGGACTGTGGGCCACAGAGGTTTGCCAATTTGAGAAGCGGGCACATGATGTAGGGAGCACTCCGGCCTGCTGATGTGACAAAGTCAGACGAGGCACCTGGCTTCGGGGCTGTCTGATCTAACAGATCTAAAGCCGGGACAGGGCATCCCAAGGCAACAAGAGCCGTTTGCAGGTCTCGACTTTGAAGAATGGGATGCAGCCAATTCTGAAGCGAGACAGACGCGGTAATTATAGAGTCAGATAGCGTGTCTGGATTGGCTGGAACTACCCTATGGCCCTTTGAAAATGCTTCTTCTCTGCACAGACCGTTGAAATCGTCTAGGGGTCTTGCAGCCTGCAACCTAAAGCCCACAGAGACACGCACAGCCACGTGGACTCTGCTTTCGACATTCGACGCCCAGGTGGACATCTTTAGTTCAGCTTGGGTCCTCAGGATCGACCTCTTTGCATTTCTCTTGATGTGTTTGTGCCACAGACCGGTCCATGTGTGATGTCATGCCTCTGCCTCTGCAACTAGGAAATACTAGAGATGATAGTCTTGGATGCTCGTTCGTACTGGAGCAAGAAATGAGGGGGGGGGAACGAACATTCTTGTAGTCAACAAGCTTCCGCATGGTGACCTTTCATCACTTATCCTCTGCCAAGGATGATATTCTTGGTATGGTGGCAAGGCACAATTCAATTCCCTCTTCTGTCATCAAAGCCGGTCCGGAGCGCCGCTAAAAAGTTGAGGCAGCTGTGGCAGCGGCGTCATCGCCGCAGTGTGAGCACCCAGCTCAGTCATTAAAGCTGGACCCGGCCCTCATCAAATCA